ATTGGAAACCGCAACCGGCACATTAATATTTGACGAAAGAGTATTGCTTTCAGCAGCTACAGTTACTACGGGGTAGGCACTTTCAAACGCTGCTCGCACAGTGGACACTGCTTCTAAGTACTGTTCCTCAAACTGGTCGTTCAAATCGATATCGAGATATTTCTCCTTAATAACCTCGTTAGCATCCAAACGCATGATTTGGCGATGATTTTCTCGGAACTCCGCTCGGAGTGATGCCAACATTTCCAACCGTGTCTTAAAATATGCCTCGGTTCTTCGAGTAGTAGAGTCCTTTTTGTAGTTGCGAAGAGTTTTCTTAACCGTAGCCAGCAAGGAAGATTGTTCGTTAATGAATTCCATGGCGTGGCCGTAAAGTATTTTAAGCTTAACCTTCAAACACCCAATATCAAATGTACTCACCGCAATACAGCAAACTACTCTTGGACACAAGTTCTTCCACGGAATGAGGTTATGATAGTCAATGCTCACCACACTTGCTATGAGCCAAAGCACGTTTTGCTTCCAGTTACTGTAGCTAACCGTCCTGAAGTCCTCACAGGAGGCACCAAATGTTGTAATGAGTTCAATATAGTTAAAATGACTTTGCCTTTAATTCAATTTAAGGTTTACAAATTTTGCATGAAATAAACTATAATACATATTAAGCGGAGCTGGAGCGGTTTACCGAAGAAGGCGACATAATTACTCAACGCAGTTTTTACTTAATATGTATTATAGTTTATTTCATCCAAAATTTGTAAACCTTAAATTGAATTAAAGGCAAAGTCATTTTAACTAGCCTAGAGAAACTAACAGCGACTCTGACCCAGAAAAATTCTGGTCAAACCGCAAAAGACTTACACGGACCCACTCCCACTTCAATGCGTTTTATGAACACAGCTGACGGTCTTGTCTACTGCTCAGCAGACATTGCAAACCATTTGGGCCAATTCTAGTCAAATTATTCCAAAGATTCCAATTTTCACCACTTTTTCAATGAAGAAAAAAAAGCGCGTTTTAGTAGAACATATTCGCACATACCAACATCATTAAGTACAAAGAAAATTGAAACCCCCATTACCAACTTCGAATTCGACCTTACACTCACAAAAATTACAGGGAAACTCCTGGTAGAGACCACATCTCCCAGCCAATTATAAAAAGTCACAGAGGCCAAAAACCGAGTAGTAGATCTTTACAACAACATTCTTGTTCAAGGTCAGCTTCCACACGCGTGGAAAAGCGCAATTGTCCTCCCAATCCCCAAACCCAAGCAATGCGGCTCTAGTGTGTTAGGCTATAGACTCGTCTCCGTTCTCCCCTGTTTAAGCAAAACACTGGAAAAAATAATCGCCAAGCGCATTATGTGGTTTGCAGCTTCTAACGGTCTCATGTACCCACATCAGGTGGCATTTAAAGAAGGTCAAGGCACAACGGACGCATTACCATTTCNTAGAATGTTTCAAGAAAAAGAATGTCAATTTGAAAATGAAACATGAAACAGTGTTACCAGATTTTACATACAAGTATATCTCAAACTAAGTTTTAATAGCTAATAGTAGGGTGACTAACTTTTTTGCCGCCACAAGGTCAAGGCACAACGGACGCATTACCATTTTGAACATTTCGCGACGACAGCACTGGCGACAAAAAATCACGTATCTACACTAAGCCTTGATTTCGAAAAGGCGTACGACAGGATAGGCGCTCATGTGGTGCTGCAACAACTGACTAAATGACAAATTGGCCCTAAAATTTTCAACTTCGTGAAATCATTTTTATCCAACCGCACGTTTTCTGTTAGGTTAAATAACCAATTCTCAAACACCTACAAACTTTTTAACGGAATACCACAAGGTTCACCTTTGTCAGTGGTTCTATTCATCATTGCTTTTGATGAAGTTAACAACGTTCTTCAAAACTATAAGAGAATCTCTCATGTAATATACGCGGACAATGTCTTAGTTTTTACCAAATGTAAAGATTTAACGGTTGTTGTTGTGTGTCGTATTTGATAATAAACTTACATTTAAGCAGCATTGTATACATTTAGGAACCACGCTAGATACTAGGCTCAACATAATCAAATATTTTTCGTCAAAACACTGCCTGGTTCATCCTAACACGCTTATAAATGCAACGAAAGTCCTCATGCTGTCAAAAATGAACTATGGGCAGGCTCGGAGCAACCTGAGCCACATTCTACAGCCATATCATTCTGTGGCCAGAAGATGTATACGCGTTTTTCCNACGCTTATAAATGCAACGAAAGTCCTCATGCTGTCAAAAATGAACTATGGACAGGCTCGGAGCAACCTGAGCCACATTCTACAGCCATATCATTCTGTGGCGCGTTTTTGTAACATCTCCGGTGAAATGCACTATGACTGAAACAGGTCTTCCGTCATTGGAAGAGAGAACCCAATATAACACGCTTAAATTAATACCAAAACTCATGCAGTCCAATAACGTAATAACAACATATGATATGATGATAACATCGAACTGTCAATCAACCATAATAAGATGCATCAATTCAATCGCCGAATTAGGTATTGATTTCACGTTTTTCAAACCTAAAATCAACCGTCCTCCACCATGGTTAAATTTTCGAAGGCTTATGATACTTGACCTGACAGGCCTACGATAAAAACACCATGTCATCACCAGCATACAGACAAAGCTTCACCCAAATAGAAACGGATCTAAAACAGCAGGATTGGAACTTCTTATATACGGATGGGACAGAAATCACGGAGATCACTACTTTCGCTGCCATAGAAGCAAACGGTAATACCATCGCGGTGGGCAACCTACCTTTTTTCTGTTCAGTGTATACAGCGGAAGCTAATGCTATACTCTTAGCATCACAATTTGCTCTCAAACAAAAAATAAGCATGTCATCTGCTCTGATAGCCTTATCAACGATACAATCTATCACCAATTCGAACAACAACAACAACCTACTAATAACACTTATCCGCGACGCACTGTATCAAAGGCATAATCACATAAAAATTATGTGGGTTCCCAGCCACGTTGGCATATACGGCAACGAAGCCGCGGACGTTAGAGCACGGGAGGCAGCCAGTCAACCTCTCCACACGGGAAACTTGGTACCACAGAAAGATTTTCACAATTTTGCTAAACTAAACCTACCGAGGAGTGCAATGGGGTATAGTCATTGCGCTGGGTATGCAGTTACAGTTGCATGACTATACTCTATCCCGACTCTTGCGTCCTCGTTTGCACACTCTGAGCAACGTGAGCATCCCATGTGCGCGATGCGGTAACCAATCCGAGTGGAGCCTTGGGTCACGGCAGAAAGAGAGGGAGCTTCGGTGGGACCACTCTGACTTATTCGGTTTAAGGGCTCACTGAAGTCTGCAGCGTCTGTTCACCAGTAGGTGCGGCTGCAAGCGGGTGTCTGTTTGGAGCAAGCGGCTCGCTATATAAACGTGTATTTGGATGCGAAACCAACCCCGTCCCAGCAATGGGTTGTGCGCTGGGCTTGGGACCCGCCAAGTAAAAACCACTTCCAGTGAAGAAGCAAGGCAAAGCCTCGGCGGGAGTCTACATAACTTGAGACTGATTGCCTGTGAATGCCATTCAGGGCCTGTCGGTAGGTTGACGGGTCTAGAGGTTGTTTGATATACCTCTGGACTCCGTCTGTCAGTTCGTAAAGATGCCTCCTGACGTGCCGTGGGCAGGGCTCCTCCGCGAGCAGTTGTCCGCTGGGATGGCCACGTCTGTGGTTCACTCGATGTTTGGCTTTATCCACCGGAGGATGCAGAATGAACTGTCGGCTAAAATAGCTCGCGCATCTCTCCGGGTCCGACGAAGCGTGGTCACCAAAGTCTATCTCGACTCTATCGTCGCGCTTCGTCGGGTTGGACAACGACCTCACGGTTGACCAGAGCTTACTCACACCAGAGGCGAAGTTGCAGGTCTTCAGATGCTCTTCCCGTTTCTTCCGCTTATATAAGTTCACAAGTTGCCGAATCTCCGAATTGAGATCCCTAATACGGGGATTTCCGGGATCGGCCTGACGAAGGTTGTCGCGCTCATCAGCTAGAACAGCCGCTTCGGCAGGAAAATTCGGACGTGGGTCCTTAATACATCCTGCTGGGATGAAACGAGCTGCAGCAGCGGTGACAACCCTGCGGAACTTACGTTCACCTACACGAACTTCGGTTGGTATAGATAATGCAGAGAAGGCGCCCTCAGTAACATCTGTGAAGCCTTTCCAGTCAGCTTCGGAAAAGTTGACATAAGTCCGGTGAT